ATGTATAAATATATGTATATATATATTATATAAAATAAATAAAATTATGTGTAATTTATTTTCAAGACATATCGATAAATTTCTTGTGATTTTTTTTACGTCTAAAAGGTCATTTATTATCTCAAAATAGTACAAAACAATAATATAGATATTTCTTCCAACCATTTCAAAATAAAATCTAGAATAAAATAATAAACAATAACTAGAGAAATATTTTTTTAAATCTCATTTCTTAAAATTGTACCGTTTTTTTACAAAAAAAATTTAGGAGTGATGTTTTTGCCCTACCTGACATGTTGTAACAAATATTCAGTGCGTTCTTAATTGCGAAAAAAAATGCAAGTGATTGGGTGGAAATCGAATCCACGACCTCCACATACTAGCCTGGTGTCTTAACAACAAGACTATCGAGGTGTGCTTAGTGACTAATGTTGAATCCTATCCCCAAGCAGCGGGTACTGCAAATACTATTTCGGTAGGAGTGATGTTTTTGCCCTACCTGACATGCTATCGTACCGAATAGTCAGTACGTCCCTAATACTTGCGAAAAAATTCGCAAGTGACTATTTCCATTACATGTATATTTGTTTTCCAATTCGTACACGTTTTTTAGGTCTGTGTCCGCACTCTTGGACATCATTTGAAGGAAGTTGCTACATATTCCTAAGTCAGACAAAAACTTGGGAGGACGCAAACAGTCGATGTAAAGAAGAAAATGCAACCTTGGTTACCATTTCCTCAGCGGAAGAAAACAACTTGGTTAGTCATCATACAGACAGTTGTGGTCTACGAATTTGGATCGGTCTCAATGATATTGATGTAGAGGATACCTGGCAATGGTTAAGCAACGAAACTTCAAATTTCTCCTGCAAGTTTTGTCTATATATTAATAAGTACTCAACAATATGTTCAGTATTAGAATTTAAAATAGTTTATATCGCGTTTAGAGCATAACGTACTGTTTTAAATTGAAAACATGGTGGTTCATTTAGGCTCAAAAGAGGAAATTTCCCCCACGCCCGTCCCCGATACCATGAATAGTCGTCGGACAAATGTGTTGAATTTCGTGTCCAAATAACCTTATTGCCTATCTCTAATATTGTGGTCTACAAGCACAATTTTGTATCGTACATTTTTAGGGGGCCCAGACCGAGGCTCTAGACCACCGAGGCAGACCACTGGAACTCCTGACGGACTTGTCTGTTCGTTGGCAAATGTCTGCAACCAACACTGAGTAGAAACAACTTAAACATTAATGCTATGCAAGAAGAAATGAATTATTAATAATTTAAATTCAATCTTGCCTGCTTTGTAATGGTTCATTGGTTCCACTAATTAACCGATGTAAATATAATAGGTATACCTTTTCTATATTTTTTATAGACCTTTAAATGTATTAAAATACGCCATCGTGTTGGGATTCAATATATCGACATTAATTATCACCAGGAATGAAAAATTATCCATATTTACAAGCTTATATACAACAAACACCAAAATGTCTAACCAAAAAATATTATCTCTAGTAGATGACATAGCTGAGATTTAAACTAAAGATCAAAGCATTCTTACTCTACCTACAAAAACAACGAAAACTCCTTTGATGCTTTGAGCCCACTATTAAGCAATGGGTGTAGTATACGTATAGCACACGCTTCTTTAAACAACATAGGATAGACCAGTTTTGGGAACTGTCAATAATGTTAGTATTAGAAAATATTTAACCTAAATTATTACTTACATTACAGACCACATCGTCAATTTCAAGCATAACTTGTAAGTCTAACCCTGAACATGTAAAATGATAAACAACACAGAACATTTATACTCCTTTAGGGATTAATCTTTAGTAGATTTAAAATGAGAAACATTTGTATACTGCTCTAAAGAATTTTATCTCTTTAACTGTTTCTTTACTTATTTAAACATCTACATAAAACGGATTCACTTGGTTTTCCAGATAAGGCAATCTAACCCAAATGGTAATCAAGCTTTCATCAGTAGGCCTATGTATACATTTAGGTTCATGTAATTTCCTAAGTACATGGTTAACAACTTTTAAAGGGTACCAATTCCAAGACATAAATATTAATGTTACAAAGTTGTGCTTAAAGTTTATTAGGAGTACACAGTTTGTGGGCTCTAAAAACTAAACTATGAATCAAAGAGATCTTATTATTCTATGGAGCAAAAATGTAAGGCATATATGTGTATTTTGACGATATATACTCATGCTTCCTACACTGTTGTCAAATTGTCCAGAAAATGTACTATGTCACTTTTTCAAATGATAAAAAGGTAAGATTTATATGTCTATGATAAAAAGCGTTAAAGTTATGGAGAATGTGATGGAAGTCATTAGAGTTAGCTAATTTTGTCGTCAACAAAACGAACATAAAACGTAATAATACCTGATTCAATCAGTTTGGGAACAATAAACTCTTTTTAGTCATTAAAATATTAGCTGAAACTGGGCCAAGAGGTGAACCCACTGAAACATCATCTACCAACTGAGCTATGACTGGACATAGACATTAAATATTCCTTATTTGATACTAAGTCGCATTATAAACAACTCAGCAGTAAACATTATATTAATCAGTGTATTGAAAGCCGTAAATTATAAGTTGAACACAAGTATAACGTAAAGGTGCCGATTTTTACAGCTTGGGGGCAAAATGAACCAAACAATATCAATAACGAAAATTGCGTCGAACTTCATTGCAACGGAAAATGGAATGATGTGGATTGCGAGAGTGCCTATAATAGCGCATTCTGTGAAAAAGGCAAGTATTATACAATTACACATATTGATGCGCATGAGGGGAATGGTGAAATCTATTTTCCCTTGGTTTCCGAAGGCCCAAGGGAAGATAGTGAGCTACGGTCTCCACATCACTGATATGCTTTCAGAAACAATAGTTAAGACCAAAGCAAGTCGGCATTCTATATAAAGAATTAATGATATATATACTGATAAACAGTGATAAGAGAGAACAATAAATAAGCATTACTATATAAGTGGATAGCTGATGATAATTGGAAGGCTAGAAATAGGGCTATTAATAAATACAGATAGCGGCGATTACAAAAATTAATTAACAATATACTAAGCAATAAATTAAATAAATGTGGGAATATCAAAATATAAATATATACTTATCGGGATATAACATGAAAGGCAAATACATATAGTTATAATGATTGTAGAGGCAGGAAGCTGAAAATATATATATATATATAAATAATATTTAATATATAATATAATAAATAATATATATAATATAATAAATAATATATATATATAAAAAATATATATATATAAATAATACAAAATAAGTAAGCTAGAATAAATAGCACTAAAACCATGATTAAATGTGACCGAAAACTGAAAGTATTATTTGGCGGCAGAAGAAAAATTCGCTAATAAATCCCTAGTCCACAGGAATATTATATATATATATATATATATATCTTTAACTGTTTCTTTACTTATACTTATATATAGGCCTATATCTGTCTCTTATACACATCTAGATGTGTATAAGAGACAGACAGATATATACTCAAAGAAATCAATACAGTATATATATATTTCATCAAAGAAAGTAAATACAGTGTACGAATGAAGGACATGATAATACATCGTGTAGCATAGCTCTCAATGAATGTTGTCCTATAAATAAATAAAGAAATTGTGCAATAAAATGTTTCTAACGGGATTCGAACCTTCGACCTATCGCTGTCAAGGCGAGCGTCATAACTATTAGACCACAGACTCTTCATGGTTAAACAGATTCAAATAACGTCAGATAACTCTATTAGGTACACACAATAGGTACGACTGGAAACAAATAATAGCGTATAATATAAATCAAGATAGCCGTTAATACTGTTAAACTATATATAAATCATCAACGAAAGGTAAATGCAGTATACGAATAAAGGACACATAATACATCGTGTAGCATAGGTTTTTCTCAAGTAATACCTTGAGAATGACCAATGGTTACTTCAGAAATACCTATGATCGAAAATGTTCGCGAGCACCTATATCAAATAAATTGAGGCAACTTAACTACCTCACCTGTTATTTTATTCTATATTATTATGAGTACCTGATGATGACCTATGGTCGAAAGTACTCTTTAGAAGCTTCAGTTTGTATATCTATATGCTTGGTTGTTACTCTGAGTTTCGCGCCCCATGGCGGTCAGAAATAACGATATAAGGCAAAAAATACACGTAAAGCAATGGAGAAACACATTCGCCTTATTAGATTGGTTTAACAACCTGCAAGAAAAACAACATCTAACTTTCATCGTCTTCGATATCGTAGACTTTTACCCATCAATATCAGAAGAGCTCCTCACCAAAGTACTAGCATGGGCCAAAAAATAAACATCTATTCCAGAAATAGAATACAGGACCATAATGCACGCAAGAAAATCCCTACTCTATGACAACAAAGAAAGAGCATGGGTAAAGATGGAAACACGAAACGCATTTGACGTCACTATGGGCGGATTTGATGGAGCAGAAATCTGTGAAATAGTAGGACTATACATACTACAGGAACTTGAAATAAACTTAAATGCCACTAGCATCGGTCTATACAGAGACGACGGCTTAGCCGTCCTAAGAAATCAAACTGCCAGAAAAGCAGACCTAACAAGAAAGAAACTCATTAAAATATTTCAAGCACAAGGCCTAAAAATAACCGTACAAACTAACCTGAAATTTGTAAATTACCTAGACGTGTCAACCTCAACCTGGAAACGGAAACATACCAGCCATACAGAAAACCCGGCAAGCAACCCTTATACATAAATGCCCAGTCCAACCACACACCCCCGATCATTAAACGCATCCCAGAAACCATAGCGGATATACATAAAGAATAAAATTTCAACAAAACGAAGAAAGCAGTACACCAAAGAAAAGAAACCGGAGCAGAAACACAATCTGGTTTTTATCCACCATACAGCAAAAACGTGAAAACCAACGTAGGCGGAACATTTCTGAAATTAATAAGCAAACACTTCCCAAGAGGTCACAGATACCACAAACTCTTTAACAAAAACAACATTAAAGCCTTCGTAAGTCGTACGTACGCCTTCGTAAGACTTTTGTGATTTTGTAGTTTTGAGCTTGTCAACAAAACAAATTTCCTTTTTTTGGACTTATAAAGTTTCTGTATTCTGTATTAAGGCGTACGTACGACTTATTAAGGCGTACGTACGACTTATTACGGCGTACGTACGACTTAATAAGACGTACGTACGCCGAAGGCGTACGTACGGGTTAGGAAAATAAAATAAAAATTCATCATGTCCCTTAAACAGCTTCGTAGCAATGTAACCTATGCATTGAAGAAAAACTAGCCATCCTATGCAACAAAGAACCCAACACAATTAACAAAAGAAACGAGCTCATCACTAAGTGCCGTCACAACAAATCTAAATATGAAAGGGATAGAAACAGGTGACAAATGGGTATAACATCAAGTAACAACCTAAGGCTGCCAGTTGTCTGATGACCGCCATAGGGCGCGAAACTCAGAGTAACAACTAAGCCACAAGAAAACATTGCGGAATATATTATACTG